ACAGTCAATACTTAGTTACTAAGATAAACAGCAACGACCCGCAACCATTTAATAGATAAATAGTTTATCAGTTATCTCTCTAACCAGGCCTACCGACGTTAAAGATGCTCAGAGCAGGAGTACTCCACTTGTGAAGTATGAGAACTCCCCTTTTTAGAGTAGATATTCGATGACGAACTTTTCACCGCCCGAAAACTCGGCAGATCTCAGGCAGTCTATAGCTACACCGGTAGCCAGGTCATGCCATCCCAACGTTCCTGTCACCCGGGAAGCCAGGTGTGCATCGTTTAACACGTGTGCAATACTCCACTGCGTTCCGATCTTACCGCTTTCCCGGAAGAAATATTCAGCGCTGCCAGAACGGATCCTTCAAACATTAGCATGTAGTAGTAACGGTGGGTAAATACATTGATGGCATCTATCAGTCATCGTTACCATTTACTAAATAAATAAAACAATGAAGTCCTGTGAACTGATGGATAATTATTGTCCGTTCCATTTGTAACACTAGCTCTGGGTATAAAATATTTTAATGAATTGGCACGATTATTATAAGTGTTCCGTCCTATTCAGGACCGCTATCCTGCTTAATCCTTATATTTCTTTCGAGACCTGGAGGCTTTATAATTGACGCCGCGGTTGGTAACCGATCTGCTTCGGGTCTTTTTAACAGGCTAGGGATGGAATGCTTGAAAGACATTGATTCCTAGTTATCAACAGGAGAAATCTGTATGCTGGTGTCATGAGGACGCATATAAAATGTTACACGATAAAAAACGAAAATCTGTACATTCCATTCCAAAGATTTGCACGCCTAACCTTAAAAGGCGTAATTGCATGTTGTTCTGTAGACAGAAAATCATCTGCTGTCAAAATGTCCCAATAAATATGAACAAAAGTTGGTTATAGGAACCTCAAATTTGTAATAGGGACTGAATGAAGCATGAATAAGATTAGAATGAGTTCGAACTTCATTGTACCCGCTGGCAAGCAGTGCCTACGGTTTCATTTTATGCCTGTAGGAATCCATCTACGTTATGTGAAATTCCAAACGATCTGGCCTATTCGTCTATCATGAGTCTTTGTCCGTACCGTACAAAGCACAAATATGGCTAGAAACTTTTCGGTTCTTTCCGCTAAGTCGTTGCCGGACATGGGGGTTAGGCCGGAGCATTTAAAGTAAACCTTGCGTTTTAAGCGGTGACCCTCCCATCGCCAACTAACACACAGTAAGTAGTTGTTACGTTGCTTCTTACAGACAGTAGCTTTTGATTCTCCGACACTTTTTTCTACATAGTTGCTATGTTGTGAACCATGTCATCCAGACAGAGCCTTTCCGATAATGTGGCATTGGATGACACCTAATGTGAACTTTTAAAGTCACTTTCATGCACGCTTACCAGGACAATCGCTTAATGGGGAGTTGCGAAAATTCACATTGAAGAATTCAAGAGACAATTTGGCGAGCATACGTAGGCTTTCGATAAATTCTCGTCAAATTTATACGTTTATGTTGCTATCGGAATGATTAAAAGGAAAGTGCGGGCAAGCAGAATTTATTCCCTAGCTGGGGAAGCGCCAAGTGACCTTCTAAGAAAGCGCATAACTCAAGCTGTGTTACACACCTTTCCAGCAGCTGACCCCCATGTACTCTTCCCCACTAGCTCCATCCTACACGGAGGGAGCAAGGATAAATTGCCGGCTCAGGCCACTTCTATGTGTATGTACTCCTTCACCTGCTTCCATGGGGCAGAATATATTGGTTGCACGAGCCGGCGTTTGTCCAAAAGAATAAGGAAACACCTTACAGCATAGTCAATTAAGGTCAAAATAAAGAACGTCAACAGCTCTATCCTCGGCCACATGGTAGACACAAACCACTGTGTAGATGCCGGACAGACATTCCGAGTGATTTACAATGTCCCGTTAAACTATCCAAAATTACTTGGACAGCGTCGGTTGGCAAAAGCAGAGGCGGCTGCAATCAGGCTATACAAACCAGTCCTATGCAAACAAAAGAAGTTCGTACAGGCCCAACAGTTGCCATTCGCCAAAGCCACCATGCTAGCCACCTGCGTATAATTACCCGTCCCAGTGCCCACCATCGCCTTCTCCCCCGACAGTGACGGTGCTTATTTTCACCTCACCCACCCAGACCCTCCTCTAAACCTCAACTACTGTATAACTTCTGCTTCCTCCTACTTCCGTTTAATCATTTCAAGAGCAATATACATGTATAGGCCTGATGATAATTTATCGAAAGCTTACGTCAAATTTTCTTTTGGGTTGTTTAGGAGCTGACTAACTTTGAATTCATAACCTAACTCAAAGACCTACCCTGCTCTAGATTTATGCTTTTGTAGAAAATAACATGTAGTACCCGGAGAAAAGACTATGCTCTTACGCGGAAAAATGAAAAGCTCGAAGTCCTTGTTTTCCTCGAGATTATGAGCATCAAGAACCTGGGTAAATTAAAACAAAGGAGTGCTCATAATTTGATTTTGGGATCTAGCAGCTGCTGTTTCTCTCTTAAGATGTCAATTAACTGTTGTCACACTCGGGATCACTCCGGTGTTATCTTATTTTTCGGCGAAAGGTTTTTAGTCCCGTTCAACTGACCTGTTTTTTAGACTTCTGGTTAACTATGATGGATGTGAATTAAAATTGAGTGGAAAGGGATCCCAGCCGAAAGGGAACTACAACGGCACCGCGTTTCTAACTTCCCATAGAGTATGAACCATATATGCCCTCTCAGGTTTAGGTACTCTTCCTCCCAAAAAAAGTGGACAACCAGTTACTCTCACTTAGCATGCCTTTTGTCTACATGAAAGAGGTGGACATCAAACAGCCGGCGTTCGGAGCCAATCGTATCGAGGGCTTCGTGTTACCTGAATCCAGTGGTTGGGAGGTGATTCCATTGTTATTTCTTTGACAGTCAAGAGTTAAATGTTACTACGGAATATTCTGTTTTCTTACAATTCGTCTCAACTATTTACTGTTGCACTTTTCGTCGAAAGGGACGGTTACCATTTTCGTTAACCTTCAAACATGGTGGAGCAATTGAATTTGGCAAAGCACTTCTCGAACTGGGAACACGCGCTAGTAGACTTCGCAGTTCCTACGTACCTCCACCGCCGCCACCAGCGACAGAATACTACAGCTGCCCACCTCCTGCGTACGCCCCACCCTACGGCGATCCGTACTACAGTTTCATGACTCAACACCCTGCCTTTGGTCCACCAATTCGTAAGTTTTATGGTTTTGTTTTCTTTCGTCGCTCTTTTTCGGTTCATCCCTCTGGACTAGTTTACGAATTAGCTTTTGGTTTGCATTTATAGTTGTTGAGACATCTGACAAATTATTTGTCGAACAAGTTTTTCTGGTGGACTTTTTCGTGCGCTTTGTAGTCTACTAGCACCACGCTTCGATGCTACGTCTTCCTGGCCCGGCAATTCCCTACACGACGTTTCACTCAAGTAGTGGATATTACTGCGAACAGCCTTAACACAAGCTGGTTGATGTCATTTGATATCGGCTTTAGAACTTGTCTAGTTCTCTTCGTCAACAATTCTTTCATTTCCTGGAATTTGCCACAAGATGCGGACTTAAAGCTGGGTTTATTTAAGTGGTGCGAAGTGAGCCTGGTTTTTGCGGCTTAGTCACGTTTTGTCAATAGATAATACCTCATCCAACTAGCAGCATACAAATAATAACGAGAAAGTTTAAACAGACATACAAACTTGGAAGCTGGTGCACTCGAAGCATTTCTGTCCGTTACTCAGCCATCTCCGGAACTATTTTGCACGTTCGTAGGGCTATTTTTGTCACAACTCGGGCGCCCACTTGTCGATCCCATTTCATGCTTCTTTATGTCAATACATTCTTAACACATGACGCATTGAACAATGAGCAGTAAAGATTCCGCATCTAACTGGTATCCTTGATTGATTATTCAATGTCGGTGACCTTTTCTGCTCCACATCAAATACCGATTTTTCTTTATCACACGACACTCAGTTACTAATCCTGTTTCGAAAAATGCCATTTTTACATGTGTGCGTCGGTCATAATTCGGCTTAGATTTCATGAAAACTCAGCAGGTTTCTAATATTAGTCTCTCAGCTGACTGGGCAGAATGCTCAAATTACAAACTGGGAACATTCGTTTTTCGAAGTTCTATTCTCATTGAAAGCCTGCCGATTCAATTGCGTAGTTGAGTTTGCGTCTGAAAAACTACGTGTCCCAGTTAGCTTCTTTCGACTCGGATATTTTTTCCAGGGGATGTTAGTCGTCCACTGCCTTTTTCGCCTTTGTTATTCTACTTTCTGCTGATATGATCCTTCCCTTTGGGCAGGCTGCCATTCAGCGTTCCACTGAGATCCACAGGTCATGTCGACACCCTTAGCGCATCCTGTTAAATTCAAGCACGTCGAATTTGTTATAGAAAGGACTGCTCTGATTTTACGTGAGGGTGAGTTCGCCAGTGTCGGCCTAACGCCCTCTTTCCTCCACACGCATCAGTGGCTTGTTCGAGTCAAGCTGACTGGGAGGGGATTCTGTGGCTGACAAAGCCGAACAACCCCTCTACGCGTGCCACACGCGACCTGCGACGGACTGCGTAAAATAGCATGCATTCCATGTAAACAGTTGTGGTGGCGACGGCGACGGTAGTTGTGGTGGTTGTGTTCACCAGATGGTATTGGTTGATAAATGATCACCGTCTTCTTCGTGTTGATGGCCAGCCCGAAGTTGGAACAGCCGAAGGCAAAGATATATGCACTCCGTTGCACGCCCTCCTTCCTTGTGATGCTTTGTGCACAGTAATCCGCAAACAAGCAACCATTGACACCAGCTTTGGAAACTCCTATATGACTTCATGTATCGGATGTTCAGCAGTTGTACATACTGTAGACGTGCTATCTCGCGAAATATTTACCGAGATTCTGAAACGTATTTCCAATTCGGGAAGATTAGTTAGGTAGGGTTGTCTTAATTCTCGTGTCGCACAATGCTAAAATATTCCAGTTACGCTGAGATACTGGCTTTCAAACGAGCTTTCCACCGGCCGCTTGCGTAACCTATATTCCACAAAAATGACTACTTGAGTAGTGTAAACTTTTCCCATTGATTTTCACTGCCCTTATAAATTCAGACATATTTGCGTATTTGGTAACAAGTTTTGTCTTCTTCAAATACTATCATCAAGCTTTAGAAAACTTTCTCGATTCTTGAGCAGCCTCGATACCGATATCCTGTTACACTTGCATTCAGGACTTTCAAATTACAAACTTCATACCTTCCGTGTAAAGAAAGTCATATTTTTCTATGCGATATTTATAAGAGGTTATATAGGGCTCATAGAAATTCGTAATCTCTACGGACCATGCTGATGCGATGCTGTATGGCTGGACATTTCACGGTCCCAAAAATCTCATAATTAGAAACTTTTTAAAATAAAAAATATGCTCCTTAAGCATGAGATTTGAAGAACACGTAACCTGCTACCAAATAAGTAGAAGAAAGTGTATTTCGTGCGTATTTTTTCATATAATATGTTTAAATTCATAAGGGCATTTACTCAAGTAGTCATTTTTGCGAAATATAGGTTACGCAAGTGGCCGATAAGAAGGTCGTTCGAAAGCCGGCATCCCAGCGTAATGGGAATATTTTACCATTGTGCGACTCGAGAATCAACTCGACCTAGGTAATCTTGTCCATGAGCTGCGGGCCGTCATTCGCCAATCCGACTGGTCTTGCGTCGTAGTCTGGTGCTTTGTCTTTGGGCATCTCTACCACTACCTTGATTATCTCTCAAAGGATAGGCGGACGATGGAAGTCGGCATTAGTGTCTACCTAAGGGAGTTGGCCGATAGCTTCGTCGCAGATTGCGGGTAAGTCTTAAGGACAACTTTGAGGTGCTCGATCCAGCGCTCCAAGTTACTGCATCTTGGCTGAGCGGTTGGACAGCCTCTTGGACCTAGAGGACTGTAGACTGCGTTGATTGTCGCGAAGAGATCCTTTGTCACACCGGACTTTGCGTTTTTTCGATTTTCTCCAGCTCTGCAATTCAGTCAATCTTTTTGCATCGCCCTCAATTTCTGATCCGTTAGTGACGTCGGTCTCTTCGTTAGTACAGATCGTACGCAGACTGTTGTTCTCAGAGAGCAGGCGTCGAATTTCGTCGTCATTGTCAAACCAGTCATTGCGCTGTTGATGTTGACTCAAGACTTCCGGTGTTGTGGTTTTTAGGACTTTCCGCATTTCTCTGCACCGAGTTTCAACGGTAGTCTTTTCCTTCAGAAATTGCACTTACTCCAACTTGCGATTCGTTCGATAGTTAAAATTCGGTAGTCTTTCAGTCATACTCAATAATGCAGCATTTAACTTACCTGGTATTTGCTTTCTTTGTGAACACTTGCGAGGTTACAGCTGCAGCTTTATCTTGGAGTCGAAAAGGCAGCGACCTGCAGTGCAATCTATACCACACAAACAGACACACGACAGTTCGACCGTCGTTACCGAAAATGTCCACTATGTGCTCCACAGCAAGGTGAGAACAGGGACGGTGAATTGCGTGAATTAGTTTACAGTGTTTATAGACTTGCACAGCATCTAACGCACTCTCTCCTCTCCCACCTGGATCCGGTGTCAAGGCAGAGTCAAGAAGACGGGGGGCGAGAGAGCGCGCAGGTGGATAGCACGGTCGAGCCCACACCTTGGCGCTTTACTCCACACCCCTTGCTCTACATAACAAATAGCCAGCTTTTTGACCAACAATGGGGCGGCAGGGGTCCCAGTGTGTGTGACGTCTTCCGGCAGTCGGGTCTGCCACCACACCCCGAAATGTCGGCATTTTTTATGGTGTGCAAATCCAGTGATGCTTTCTAGAATCCGATATGGCCCCCGTGTTGGTCCAGATCTGCCATGTGACCCGTTTGGGGGTAAAAACACACACAACAGTTCGATCATCGTTTCCGACGATGTCCACCATATGCTCCACAGCAGGGTGAGAGCAGGGACATTAACTCGCACGTGGATTAGTTTATAGTGATAGTAGACTTGTACAGCATCTACCGCACTCTCTCCTCCCCCAACTGGACCCGTTGTCAAGACAGAGTCAGGAAGGCCGGAGGCGGTGGAACGCATGTGGATGGCACGGTCAAGCCTGCATCTTGACGCTCTACTCCGCACCTCGTGATTCACAGAACAAATGACCTGCATTTTAGCCAACAGCAAAAGAAACTGGCACCACACACTGCTGTTGTCACCAGAACATCGCGCCCTTCACCCCTCCTGACGAGCACGTAGTTCAACAGTTGCACCTGAGAGTGCGTCTGCATCCAAGTTGTCTTCTCTCTGATTGTAAGGCGGAGTATTTTGGTCAGGAGTGGACTATATTCCGTGCAGGTCGCAGTCTGCTTGTTGACGGCGTGCTTTGCCAACATTTTGGGAGCATTTTCCGGTCCTTTTCTCCCCGATAATCTAAAAAGTGACTCCCGGGATAGGGCTACTAAGCCATCTCAGATGGCCGTCGCACTCCACTGTGAGTCATGACTTATTTGATAGTTTGACCGTCGCATCCGACGATGCCCACCGTGTGCTCCGCAGCAAGATTAATCAGGCACGGTGACCTGCGCGTGAATTAGTTTACAGTGAGAGTTGACTTGCGCAGCATCTACCGCAGTTCCCCTCTCGCCTGGGCCCGTTGTCGAGACAATGAAGAAGACCGGAGGCAGGAAGGGCGCGGGTGGATGGCGCAGCCGAACCCGCACCTTAGCTCTCCACTCCACGCTCCCTGGTCCACAACGAACGCTTGGCCAGGATTTTTACCAATTACAACAACAACAACAGAAAGGACGTGAGTGACTGGACAGCCATGCATGCCAATTGTATACCCAGTGGAAGTGCAGGCATATATTTCGCCATAGAATCAGGTGCCAGAAAGCAACCAGTGCACACCAGGCTGCGAGGGCCATGGTTAGCTGATCCTGGCATAGCAGACGCTCAAACTTTGGGGTGACTTGTTCACAGTAAGAAGACTAACCGAGTTAGACTAGGTCGCATTTTACCTTCATGCTAGGACTTTTGTCTTGGGGTTAAGTGGAGTATGTGGATTAGTTCGGACAATCGGCTGTGGTGACACACACATCGGACACCACCTTGTTTAGCCCACCGGTCAAGGGCGGTTATCGGTGTGTGGCTGCCATGCCGAGCACGGCTTCGTGAGGCCATATACAACAGTTGGGTGCCTGGGTGGGGTGAAGTAGGCGTACCCATCAGGTCCGTCGATGCGTCTTATGGGACATTGCTTTCAGGCGGTCGTGCTTGCCCAGACATCACCGATGTTGCCTCTTCGTGTGTGTCATTCCTCAGTAGTGTATCTCCGGCAGGGTTCATGCGCCGGGGTATTGCTGTGGGTCGGATATTTAGCCGCATAAGCGAGCCGAAAAGGACCGTATATTCGCAACGATAGTCTGCTGAAGGAGCGTTGGGAGCGGTGCCGTGTGTCAGTGTGGCAAAGGTTTCGGAGACGACCAGACAGAAGTCCTTTGCATTGTTTGGATTTTGGAGGCATCATCATCACATTTTCTCACAGCTCGAATCTTATCAATAATGTGTTTTTTGTTAGTTATCACTATCATTGCTAGTTTCGCGCCGCGCATTTCTCAGGAGGCCGGCACTCGAGTGGTCAAAGGTTTTGGGACAAGTCCGTAGGCAATTTGATTCTGTGTGATCACCATTTAAGGCACCTCACTCACTGTTGCCACCTGTGCCAGATGATGGCGATAGTAACGATGGAGCGATTCGATGCGGCGAAATAGCCAGTTTTATCATAACTGCTTCCCAGTGCTTAATGACCAAGGACTCACCTCACAGATCCATCTTACTTCATCGTCCTTGCATCCCATCCCTCCTATACGACAAGAATAGGTGCAACAATAGTTATCAATTCCCCGCACGCACTGTGCAGTTCTTGTGTCCATTGGGGTCGGCTTGCGTACCTACCATTCGACCTACTGTTTGAGATCCAGACGCATTGGCTGCCGCTGACGCCCTGCATAGATTGAAATTCGTGATTTGGGAACTGGCCTGACGGGAGTTGAGACTCTAGTTCTCAACTTAGTCATGAAGATTCAACAAACAAGACAGCGATAAAAGAGGAGCCGTTATATTGGTTTTCCATGCTCGACCTCAGCGCTCCATATAATGCTACAACTGCCTGGCCTGTAAGTGGTTGTCCGTCAGATGCAAGTCTTTTTTCCCAGCTAGGCTTCTCTGAGTGTAACCCAATCATTCAAACGTGTTCCTATGGTTCCTGTGTACTTCCAGACTTCGGCCAAGTGTCGCCCTCCCATGAATCTCATTTTTGGCACTAGTTTGCCCATGTTCACTACCTTAAGTACGGTTCAGCGTTGACAAGCAATGGTGTTTGATGTACCGGGGATACCTCAGAAGCTTAGATTTTGCTAATAGGTTGTGTTGATTGACAGAGTGGCGGCTCATATCAAGTCAGTTTGGTGCATACCTTTTCGTAGTCCCGTTCTTTCATATAGATTGGGGCTAATTGTGTAGTTTCCGTAGGGTTTTTCTTCAATATTGTTTTGCCGAGCATGTTGCCGTAAACCTATTTCAAACTGACGTTTTGGTTAATGACATCCAAGCCAATATGTAGTCACTATTTTGTCCCTTTTCCTCTGATTCAGCTGATACCCTTTACCAGAGTAACTGTTGGCCGCCTTACCCCGGAGCCGTACCCCCCACTTACACACCTGAGTGGCCAGCCGGGGCGAACTCACAGCCTCCACCTTACCCGCCTCAGTCAGGTGCATACGCACCGCAGCCTGGCGCTTATCCGCCCCAGCCGGCGGGTGCTTACGCGGGACCACCGACGGGTGTACCCTATCCACAAAACGGACCACCGGCGAGTGCCCCTTATCCACCAACCGGACCACCGCCGCCCTATACGGAGAATGGAGGTTAGAGATGTTTTGATTGCCACCTGTCCTGCTTTTACTGGCGGGTTGACGGTCTTCTTCACTGTTTAAGAGTTCTTACATACGAACTTTTCATCATCCATCTTCAATTCTCTGTTGACTAGATTTGATTAATTTTTTCGGGCCCCCTTTCCGTCTCATAAGTCATTGAACTTCCACTTTGTCGTGGGGTACTGACCTGTCTTTAACTCATCGTTAACTCTTTTCGCCATGCAAGAACCACACGTCTCATACAACTCAGAAAGCACACGCCTCGGGACATACAGACTTGTAATTGCCTCTGGTCCAATTTCGGCGTGTTTTTGAACTTGCTGTTCATTTTTTCGAGACCCATAGTTTTGAGTGGGCTCTACCCTCGGAATGTTGCTGCTTACTAATTGCGTGCTGTCGTATCCCTATGTTAGTAACATTGTCGCGCCACTTGGCTCGTGCAACAATAACAAAAAGCCATCCGCACACTTGCGGAGACTAGAAATTCTTCTTGTTTTCAGCTGTCAGCCACAACTCCTAATGACTACTTCGCTATTGGAAGAAGATATCTCATATCTCATATCTCTGTGTTTTATGGATTCGTTTGCGCTTTCGATCGTTATGTGGTAATATTTTTTAGTCCGAAGGTAGATTCATGAACAAGTAGAGCTCAAAGTAGCTTCTACATGGCTCGAACAATAAAGTCACTGTAGATTTTTCCTCCGACCATTTCCTGACAGATAAAGACTAGCTTTACAGTCCTGTCGATCTATCAGTTTTTACAAGAAATCTACGGTGGCCACGAATCTACCCAATTTGCTCACGTGTCTATGGTGGCTTAATAGACTTTTCTAACACGGCTTCGTCATCTCGTTCGATGGTAGGCATGTAAACAGTTAGTAAAGCACGTGGGCCATAACTCAACCTCACATAGGTATTTCTTAACTCGCCGCAAGATTGTGTAGGCGTAAATTAACCATTGATGTCAGCGCCTCCTTGTACGATACCTTTGAGTTAGGCCCATTCAGCACCGAACGTCACTTGCTAATTTTAGGTTTGAGTGAGAGAGTTGACAAAATTAGCGTTTCTGTTCTTTCCACCTGCCACGTCGATCTATGCTGTTTGTCGCCCCATCTCAAAAGTGGATTATTATGTTCTGCCGTTGTTCGATCCTTTCACGTTATCTTATTTCTTCTTCGTCACCGCAGTAAGTGAGGGTTACTACTTCCAACAGTACCCGCACACAGTCTATGCACCGCCTGCCTCAACGGCACCGGCCCCCTCGGCACCCCCGCTGCAAGAGGAAACGAAGAAGAATATATAAAAGTTGGTTGTTTACATCACACTTCCTACGAGATTGCCTACTTTTAACTGCTAAAACCCGTTCCACCATTCTGTGATTTTAAGTGTTCGCAACTCATTTGCCTTCCTGGAATTCTTGCTTTTCTGCTTTCCCTGATTTCTTCTCACATACAAAACTTTACCTTGTGGTAATTCCTGGATTTGGTGTTACTCTCCCAACCGTTCATATTTGCTTTCTATACATGCATTTGTGTGATTGTTCTTCTAAGACCCCGAAAGCCTGTTAATATCACGCTAATTTCGGGGTTGGGGGGCGTCGTTTTCCACCAAGAATAATTGGCGGTTGGGACATCTGTATGATTTTTCCAGTTTGATAGACGTATTTTGTCAGGGGTCGCTCTGCCATAATTTTGATTTTTGTCGACTTTCCCAACTGCAACTTCATGATGTTCTTGAGACTCATCGAGAGTAGTACCTTACCTAATGACGTCAAAATTACGCCCATGCAAAATGTAAGGATGGTCTGGTTCATCTTTAAATTTCCATCTTGACCGATGCAAACAGCTCGGATTTCAGTCATGCCTCCTTTTCACTGTCACATTATCTAGGCAACGGGCTGGCTAAGAAACTACAACATCTGCAAAGCGTTCGGCGAATTCTTCTGGTATTTTTGCCTCAGAAAATACTGGAGAGCCTCGTTCCCTGGTTACCATACGTTTGCGCAAGATTTTGTTTAACGAAGATCATGAGGGAAGCCCCCTAAGTAATCAAGAAAGTCGAGAGTGTAAACATTTTCATGGCCGATAAATGCGGAATAAGGGAGGATTGGCCGACGTGTACTGTCTTTTTTCACGCCACTGAGCAGTTCTCTCGGCGATTTTTACAAGAATCAGCTTCTTTAGTGGAGATTTTTACGACTGATTCAGATTGTAGTGCGGAAATTCCGCGCAGGCTAATGTGGTTCTTTCAATTCCAGTTACGTAATCATGTCAATCTAACTAGAGATCGAGACTGGCACAATGCCTGAACCGACGTATTTCTGCTCTATCCGTACCATAAGAATACAGCACAAATGAGCCAGAGCACACGACGGCGTATCTATCACAGGGCATCGACCCAGTGTTCTAAGTACTCTGTGGCACTTTAAAAAACACGATTTCAGTGGAACCTGTTTCGATATAAACGCTTGAGTGCACTCAGCACCATGATAATCAAGGCCCGGTCACGTGTTGAAGGTGAAAGACTAGGAGAAACGCAGTGGTGCTCAGAGCCCCAGACACGCGGCGGACTCTGGACGTGTGTGCGCGTCCACCCCTTAAGCTGTTGTGAACGTGGTGTGAGAGCTAGTCAACTTGGTGAACTGACAGGGTGATTGCGGAATTTGTTGACGCCTCCGATTGACTGTCCTGTAGGTGACTTGTACGCATGTCCCGGGCGCCGTAATCACGTGATTCCTAATACGGCTTAAGTGCTAAAAGCGGAAGCCTTATACGCGCACAAGAAGCTATACACTAAAAGGACGACCAAGGCTAAACCAACCTTGTCTAGATCCTAGAGCGCATCTGACACAGCCAAATCTAGATGGGAGAATGGAGGGGTACGTTCATAGTTTGCGGTGCAGACAGAGATAGCAAGATGTGCCATCAGATATTACGCTTTTATTCCTGCTGACTACCACTGGAAGTGGCTTATCGGGCCCCACGTTTTCGCATGTCCTGCATTGATCTTTAGTCCCATGTGCCGAAATATAGCTAGACCAAACCGTCTCTCCAGTTGGGTGATTATCGTGCCAGTCCGTTTTCCGATTTTCTAATGCTGTGCGAGCCTTATTAAGGCCGATTCTGACTCAGTTTATGTTGTTAGAAGACCCATTAGGACAGGTGCAGTGCGGCGACACGACTCTCCAATATGCAACCGAAAGATGCCCACTGTCGGAGGGGGAGTTCCGGTTCCACCCATCGGAGTTTTGTATTCTATAGAGGAAGAAACTCGGAGCACCGCTGTTGCGTGCCGTGGTATTGCCGGAGCCACGCATTATGAACATTAACTACCGGGTTTGCGATGGGGCATACTATGTTGTGGTCAATGTATGTATGATAGTTCAATGTAGTCTGAGACTGCCACCATTATTATAGCCGGTGCGAGGGAGATAATGCCCGGGCACTACCTGTTTTCCCGATGTTCGAGTCTAAGCTGACTTCTAGGATCTGGCACCTTCAAATATGGATGGCATTTCCTTGAGATGATGTCTGATCAGAGCGATTGCGTCGGCCTAGGCAGTCTGAGAGCCAGCCATTGTCTTACTTCGACACGCATTGCCGCCGACCGTCCCTGCTAAAACGCATCTCTCTTGGATGAGAACCGTTAAGTGTTTATAGGCTCGGGAGACACCTGGATATGGGCAAAGCAGTTAGAGGCCTTAATGATCTTTTGCAGTACCACAGAGTTTTGGGACGATATGGTTGATTCTATTAGGTCCAGTTTTAGTACATCTATCGTCTTTCTCTCTGTGAGCTAGGAGTCAGACGACGTACCAGCACTTTGAAACAGACCTGACGAATCTAGCTGATCGAAGAATCTCCGGCTACTTAGGGCAATCCGTGCGTTTTGGCTCACAGTCGTCTTCACTTGAGACTTTCACGTTTTCATATGATCTAGGTCGCTGCCAACATTTGGTTTACCTAAATAGGACTGTATAGCTCCGGCATGTGTCATGAAGTTGTCATTGTGGGAAAAATAATCCGAAATGGCCTGGGCGGATCGCATGTCGCCCTGATCGTATTAGGGTGCGCCGTCTGACCCAACCTGGAACAGTGTACGGGTTTTGGCGTTCGTTGTGAATGACAGCACAACTGTGGGAGTGCATAAAAATCATGCCAAAAGGGAGCCCTCCCTCCCGAAGAGGACCAAATTAGTCCGTCAATGGGCAACCTTCCAAGATCGGCACAGGCTAATGTGCGAGTTCCAGAAAATAGTTGAAAAGGAGGTCTGATCGCATTAATGAGGGTCTTATTCGCCTAATGTTCTGGATTCACGCCCGAATCTATCATCCGATACTACAACAGATGAGTGGTCACACAAGGCCTGTAGCATTTACAGGAGGCTTTGGATATGCAACCACATGTTCATCGAAATTGGCGTTTCTCACGTGCATCTCAAATGGTTGCTCATAATTCGACGATCCCTTGATTGTCAGCAACCGAGTCCTTACTTGCCACAACTTCATCACTCGTGTTGGTTATTGACGCGATAATTGCTTGCCCGTTTGGCTGACGTGTCGGAGTCGTTCCGTAGGTAAGGGGAGATGTGTCGAAGCAGTCCATGTGAACGCCTGCGCTCTTCATCTTCACTGCTCTCTTAAAATATAAATGAAGTGTTCCGCTTGGTCGTTTGTTTCAGATGAAATCGTGGTGATGTCACGTGATGGACTCCCCAAGCCTGGCACATCTGTTGAAACAGCGACCACGTAATATCCGTGCATTTGCTCGTCTCTGTGGAGATGGCGATCTCGATATGAGCCGTTTCATATTTTTTACTGCGACATCAACAGTATTTGTCATGGCGCCGAAAAGTTCCAGTCATTTTAGCCATATGTCAGCGATTGACTATCGTCCAACGAGGGTTGTATGAAATCTGCCCAGCTGTCACATAATCGTCGGCCATGACAGATGATGCTGTCGATGAGTTCTTATCATCGCGTCCACATGCGCTGCGGCTCCCACGTCATCAGTTCCCGACTATTATACAGACCCCCAGGTCAGCCGTTTCAGGTGGGGCATACCGTTGCGTCCAACTTGAAGCTCGCGTAAAGCCTGTTGCTGGTATTCGGCTGAAATCGCCATTTAACCGCTCACATAACCCCTCGGTTTCTTAAGGGTTTTACGAAGGCTGTGCACTTTTTCTCCACTGACCCGACCATCGGAAATAAATTTCTTTACCTGGTGCAGTAGTGGGCTTGTTATAGTGGTTACGCTAATATCTTGGGCCGTCATGAGCGCCTGCCGGACGACGCGTCCAAACTCTTTGTCGCCCAGTTACAGCATGTTTTCAACTACCACGTCTTTTTGCGAATGTCCAGCCGAGATAAGACGCCCGCAGCTCCGAACTTCTGCGTGGCCACATGCCGGATTGCCAAGTGGTAATTCGGGAGGATCTTATTCCATCGATGTGTCCACTTGGGCACGTGTTACGGCATGCCATGATTGGTGTCCAGTGTGATCTTGAGTAGCTGGCGACCTATGTGAAGGACGAAATGCCTACCTTACATCAACATGTGACACGTCTGTACCTGAATACATTGTCGCCAGGGCTACTCTTCCAGTCGTGCTGTAGTTTCTGCCTTCGTGAGGGAGCCAGCGTCATGAATCAAAAGTTTAGTGTAATCACATTCCTAGGGAGAGCGCCGCTTAGCCCATAGTCAGGCACATCTGCCCAGACAACTGTTTCTTCGTTCGTCTCGAAATGTGTAAAAAACGAATGACACGGATCATCGCTTTTATCCTCGCAAAGGATTCCTGACATTCTTCGGACCAGTAAACTTCCGCGCCCACTCAGAGAAATCGGCTTAACGATGGACCTCGACCGGTGAGCTCGCCAATTAGTGGTTCATAGTAAATAAGCAACCGCATTCTTTGGCACCCTGACGTTCTTGAATGCAGCAATCCTCGCTAGGTCCGATGAATTTTCGTCCCTCTTTACAGCAAATTCTAGTTAATTAATTTCCTCCAGAGGGAAATTGTCCCTCATGTTATTTTTTCAAGCCACCAGAGCGATTCCTCATCTGGACGGCAAAGAAGCAAGATCTCGTCCCATTAAGCAAGAGCTTTAAAGATTTTAGCATGCATGGTATCTATACTTTGTAGGATATACTTGGTGCTATGTTCATGCTGTTGTTCAGGTAGTTATATTTTAACAAATCTCTGTGTGCTTAATGGTCAGAATTTCCATCACTGAGTCGCCTAACTGTAATTGTAAACATTCTTCCGAGATATCATTGTTAAGAAAACCTCCCCTACTTCTGGAGCAGCGAAAATGTTCTCCACCGTCGGCGACGGCGATGACTACCTTTTACTGTGTCGTCCAGCCACAGGGGGTAGAGGATGCCACCTTACTGTAGCTGCTCCAGTTCTTCATCGTCTGCTGTTGTACCACAACTGAGACACGTCGACCCTGCCTGAAGACTGGTCCCCTCCCGGCTTCAGTTTTAACCTCACCCTTATTTTCACCCACGCTCTGACACACATTGCCTATTCGGCGTATTTATTCAGGTCCTTCTGCAATATCTTTAACACAGCATATCTCCTGGTACGGTCGGCTCCGGATACCCTGCTGGGAGATCGTTTTTGTTGTTGAGGTGACCGTTTTAGGGCTTCGAGGCATAGATATCCTGCAGACAGGCCTTTTCCTCGATAACAATAGTTGCCTGAAAGGCGCCTTTAAACTCCATTTACGTATTGTTTGGCGCCCAGGCGCGGATAGAAGTGTTTGCGGTTCCAGCGACCCAGGGTCTTCCCATGTGCTTGTGGCAATTATCGTGAGAGTCGGAGATGTGTCAGCTGTGTCAGTGCTTGCTGGTAGACATTTCTTCCTCCCAACTTGACACACGTGAGACATGTTGGACAATTGCATTACACGTCTTAGGTCCGATTTCTGGCACGTTAGTGCGTCGCTTTGTGGTCGAGCCGAGAATAACTATGAGACTTTGTTGTGCAATAGGGTTAATCTGACGCGTAGTGCCATGCTCCACGTTGTCAGCATGCTGTCTTCGGTTCCTGTGGAAAACTGCTCTCTTGCGGTTTGGCCGTTTTCGTGTCAGTTGTCTGTTAGGGCCGTCCATGAGTCTCGCGCGCTCTTTGTATTGATGAGTCCAGTACAGCGCTTTGTAATCCCCTCCTGATCTAACTAGGCGAGTAGCCATGTAAGTACATCATCTTCCAGCAATTCTAACGCCTAGTTGCCTATTCTAGGTCAGTTTGTTGATAAGTGTCGTTCACTCGGCCGTCTAAATGAAAATAATCTTTGTTTGGTTGTCTTACTATCTTACGTCACCAAAAGCGCCGACTGAATGACTGAATTAAAACCTCAAGCTCTTGACTGTATCATCGGACTAAATATCTAAGGTTTCTCGAGCAGGACGAATTCCTGATGGCTGTGTGGCAGTCTGCGCCCGTGGTCACCAGCGCAGCCCCTCGCCCACGCCAGCTCTAGTTCGCCTAACACCTGTCAACTGCGGCTCCAGTGTGAGAAACAGCGGGTTTGGCTTCCGGCATATCGTTTGCAATATCGAGGCCGCGCCAACTGCTCACGCTCGGCCTACACCCATCCAAAGAGTTACAGAACCCTATTTCTGACTTAAGTTTCGACTCTCATGCCCACGGTGATAGCGCCCCGCCAAATGACAAAGTCCTTTGCAACAAGACTGACGTCTGCCCTCTCGTCAACGCATAGTTGTGGGTAGGAGCGCGCTCATTGGACACCTCCGAACGTACCGCAACATTCCCCTCCCCCCGCTAAGACACTCCATCCACCATCCAAACTGTTAGCACGGGCCGATGAAAACAATCTTAATAGATCACGACGGGCGGACTGCCAATTATGTAAGGTTAATTTAATGTAACACGTAAATTGACATTTGACAGAAAAAAAGCACACAGCCCCTGCTCGACCACACTTTCCGCCCTCGAGTAACGCTGGAAAGGTAGTGAAAAAATACTACAGAATACCTGGCGATCCGGCAAATTCAAGTTCGTGGCTGAACAACCAGTTATGCGGGCCCATCGCAACCGGTTTCAATTGTCCTCTGATCAGCGGCATGAAACGTACACAGCGTCCTCCCACCAGTTGGACGACCCTGTTAGCGTTAAAGATAGTTGAAGCCCAGTTTAAGCCGTCACTTGGCAGGTAAGATCGTTCACGCCAGTGGAACGTCAGTCTTCAGTTGCCTCGGAACCACCGGTTTGGCTGTGTGCATGCGCACAGCGTCTGGTTGCGTGTGTTGGCCGGGGTTATGGCCAGTTGTTATCGTTTTTCTTGTCCATTTCGGTTTACCTTGATAACATCCTGTAGGCTTGGAATGCGGCGGACTGTCTCACAAAGCGAAAAATAACGTCTCCTAAAAACAATAACTTTACGTGCAGGCCATCCTCAACCGACAGTGAGGTCAGTCGATCTACCAGACGAGTGCGTGCGGACATATGATGTGACACCGCACCGGTTTACTGGGAACTCCGGCAGGCAAGGGTACAGTATGAAACTCCACCAAGGGTTTAGTCTAACGAGTGGGAGGGAACCACTTCTAAGGGGACTCGGTCGCCGTCTTCTTGTACCTCCGGCTATGCCCCACCCATAAAACCCTCATTCCCGTATTCGACGCACCAGTGGCCTTCCGTCCCTGACTGGGGTTACATACCATGCCCTTGCTCTCCGGAATTTACACAACTAACATTTTAAATCTCGTCAGGAGATTATGCGCAAGACAATGTTTTCGGTACAGATGTATAAAACAACTTCCGGTTGAAGGGACAAGATAAGTGGAACAATTAGATGTCAGAGTGCGTTTAAAACGAGTTGAATGCAATCACGTTTCAACAACTGCAAACGAGTGACCATAACCAGAACCTATGTTCAAAATTCGAGGGAAGGGCGTAGGACCGGGGAAACGGACAAGAGAAGGCCGGTCTACACACCAGTTACTATCTGACGGATCCAGAGGTCGTATGGGAAGGCCCCAGGTCTGATTGTCCGCCTCCTCAACCTGTCCTATACCGCACATGCCATGTTCATTCCACCCCCAAGACCACAGTCGCTGCCGTTCGTCCAGAGCCAGACAGTGCTCCGAGCCGGCAACTACTTTGGTGATGCGAGCTTCCTCCACGGAAGACTGCGACTCGGTGATAGGCCTAAAGATGACTCTGCCCGGGACGGGGTCAAAAGTCTCGCCCTTCATTGGCCAAATCTTCCGTTTGTCACCAGATGCGGATGGAGTGGGCCGTGAATCCACCTCCGTCAGAGTCCTGCCCAATTGTCCAAAGTCCGACCTGCCCCATGTATAAAGGTTGCCAGATTCTGCAAACGGAATGAATGCATACAGTACAAACCTAAAATATGCTCATAGATAAATCAACCAAAAGCAATCAACTAACTGACCTGTCAGGGCCAAAATGTGGCTCCAACCGGACATGACAGAGGTTATACGTTCGTTATCAAATAATCCGTTCGGAATCCAGTGCACCTCAGACGCAGAACATGCGTCAGTCCTCGGCGCGGACAGTGGACCACCCAGCCCGAAGCGCAGGTTTCCCCACACTGCAACATGGCCGGAGTCTATAGGGGAAATGAAGTTTGAGAAGCAAACAGTAACTTAACGAACAGTGCAGTAAAGTTACATGAGCAAAGTGAACATACAGAAATATGGATTTCTCTGTTGCATGTAACTAGGGAAGCAAGACGCTCTCCGAGTAGGCAAAATACGAGTAGCAGACTTATAAAGTTACTAATCACATACGATCGTCGAGACGCAGGTGAAACGACCTAATTTTTGGGAGACAGCCTTTTCAAGTTTCGCACGAGTCAGAAGTTGGTCTTTTACCTTGTCTAAAAACAAAGCGATGACGGATCAACGTCCTCGACCGGCGGACTGGTTTGGATCGTGTGCAATGGACGATACGTTTTAACTAGAGACATCGTCGGTCGACTCACCTACGCAGTTACAGCACGACCTAATTCATGGAACCTTAAGTGAAATATGATTTAGGCAAAAAATAGTTTATTGCATAAAAGGAGATGCAACGCTGATTAGCATACAACAAAATCCCAAGGTATTTTATACACGATCGGAATGCGAACTTTCCAGAACGGGTCCTTCCGGCTACCCGCGAAAATCTGCCAAAACGTCTATGAATTACGTAAGCCTGGTAGTCATCTGGCGGATTCTAGGTGAATTACTTAGGAAATCTTGCTTGAGCAGTCAACTTACTGTATCAGATTTGGTGGATTTCAGAAGTTGCAGTAGGTTGGGCGGACAACTTGACCCAAATGTGACCAAACTCGCGTCGTCCGGCGGAGCCTCGTAGCTCAAGTGGTTAGAGCTTTGGTTGTACTAAAGCCTTCCCCTTACTGCGTGGGTTCGAATCCCACGGAGGCGCCAAGTTTTTCACAGTTGGCTCAATATGAAAAATCCCAACCGCAAAGAAACGACGGTTCAAGCCGTATGCATTTTTCTCCTTATATTCGACGCCATTGCAAGTCCAAACATTTTCTAGAAATTATGCGCAAAGCAACCTTGCCAATGCTGTACGAGGGAGAAGCTTCCGAGTTTAAAAGAGTTTTCAATTAGGAGGGAAGCTGAGACCGTGAAATCTTTATTAACGTATTCTCACAGTTACTAATGCCGTGTGCATAGTAGTATAGGTGATCCATATCCATTTCAAAATCTTATGGACGTCAGACGACATATTCTCATTGGCATAGAGGGACGTAAGTATGACTGTTTTGAAACGAAAAGTCGACAGCGAGAGATTCGGAAACCCTAAACGCAAGCGCAACGGTAGGCAGGGTTTAGAGCTATCCGCAAATTGTTGGTCTCCTCAACCAACACGTGCCTTTGCCTCAAACGGAAAATATGAAGACTTAATTTGCCACAATAGTAATAAAAAGGGTGCTTTGTGCATACTTTTGTTAAAATATCTCGCCTTTATAAAGAGATCTAAGAGCAGCGGAAAAATTAGCACCACTTAGGTGGTAAATTTTAGCTAGTGTGGTTTACGCAAGTAGCCGAGAAGATGCGCACTCGAAGGCCAGAATTCTTGTGTGTACGAAATAATCTCGAGAGAACCCTTAGCCCCCATTAGCTAGCAATTTCGCCAGGGCTATTATTCGCCGTCTGACCAGGCTTCGCTGTTCGCATTCAGACGTCGAGCAAACGCTGGGTGCCGCGCAATCTGCCGACTTTGCATTCAACACTCTGGTGTGGTTCCTTGACAATTAGTTAAAGATTATGTTTGAGCGGCAGGCAAGGCAGATTTTCAGCCTCCAAGAGGATATAAACGAGTCAAACACGAGCTGCATTCGATATGGCAGCTGTGTCATGCAGTCACTGCATCCGAGGTCGGCTCCAGTCGACTTGGCAGTGGCAAACGACGTGTCATAATAAATTTGGTTCTTAATAGAAATTGCCTTAGAGGGCTGCCAAGGAGAGTACCGACTGGCGTCCTGAACTATGGCGATTCTCACGTAAGTGATATCCCAGGGAGTGAAGTCTGTTTCGCGCAGGTTGCGATTTCAGTCCTAGGGCAGCACGCGTACACGGGGCGAAAGCCTGCTCAAACAGTACGAACAGGTCCACCTCTAATCATGTCATTGAAAAATTACGAGTGTCAGGCGAGGGTGGGGTCGATGCTGCGCAAGTCTCCTCTATAATCAGGCGTAAGTTGCCACTTTTGTCTGGAGTTGCGGCTACCCTCGTCTACCTCGACAATCCCCGTGATAGGAACGCGCTGGAACGTACTGACGATCGGAAATGACAGTGAAACAGCCGTTCGTAGACCAGCCATCTCTGCATTAAACGAGATCATAAGAACGTATGTTTAATACACCAGTAATGTGCGGTGTGACATCCCGCATTTCAATTTGGTCCCTGTCTTTTCTGCGACTAACTGTTTATTGGTAGGCAGACCTTACTCGGATCACGCTTCCTTTGTTTCTGTATTCCTACTCGTTGATTCCCTTCGTTCTTTGTTCATTGCTCTTTGTTGTTGTTCGATTTTAAACCGACCACCACGTTTTGGTGTCATTCCTGTGGCCTCGAATGTATGTTCACTCTTCAATGTATGCCCCGTCCTGTTAACTCTATCGTGCTCTATTAGTCTTACCGTTTATTACTAAAGAACCCCAATGAATATCCGAGTTCTTCTGACATACCCTTTGGCCTCAGGTACGTCTATTCTGGTGCGGAACTGTACCTATGAAATGTGCGTGGATGTTCCTGCTTGCACGCGCTCTTGCTGTTTTGTTATTGGCCACTCGAACTTTTAGCCTAACGTTGTCGGATGTACTCTGGGGACCAGATACGAAATGCCTGAAAAGTCCTCGTACGGCTTAAATGTTGGTAGCTTACTATGTGCAAATGCTGCAAATTTACAATAAAAGCACTTGAATGCTGAAGTCTTCGTTCTTAGCTGTTCATTTTTTTTCAGAATTTACACTCTATTTAAACGGACAACGGCGGAAGATTAGATGCGTTTTACGGTCGGTGGAAGTCGGGTGCATAGCAACAGTTGGGAGAAAGGAACAGGAGAATGGATCCTGCAGTGAGGTCTTATAAACAGACGGATGGAGAGGATTGGTGAGGTCGACTTAAAAAGTCGGTCAGAGTAATTTTTCGAAAGTATAATTTGCTGTAAGGTTAACGAATCCGAACATTTACACATCGTAATTAAAATGTAAACCGCACAATATAACCTCTGAAATGCCGTGCATACTTAGGATAATTAACCACTTTGCGAGGTGACACTAGGTTCAGTCTTTTACCAGTTTAATGACCTTCCTCAAAACGCCTCATCCGTCGGTCTTTGACTAGCTGAGGCAAAAAGGAAAGTGCCAGACTAGCGGCCAGGTTTATATAGGAAGTCGAAGCGGCATCACCGAAAGCTGAATGGTTACCTGTCCAGGCTACAGAATGGTAGGCGCCTGCAGAACAGCCAACTACCAATCCCGCGTCCTCTCTTAATGAAGAGAGATTAACAATGTGTTCGGTCTTCTGGAGGCGCTGGTAATCAGACTGTCGCGTCCAGTGCTGGACTACGCCTGAATCTAGACAACAGATGGTTAGATGTGCATAAAAAAGGTAAGGCTTACCTAAAACCGTTACGGCATGCCTCAGTCCTGCAGAAACAGCCCTCACCGACTTTAAGGGAAGTTTAGTCTAGTATGGGAGGTAGACTGCGTCAGCAGAAATATAGCAACCGGTACCAAACCGTTAAACCACTTGAGAGCTTCTGAATTCGAGCTCGCACCACAGCGAAAGTCCGGAGCGTTGCGTCCGATAATGAAAACCTGACCAGAGATGGTTAGCAGCAGCGAGAAGTCCCAGCCTGAGGAAATTTGCTTTAGGGGTTCAACGAGTTCTTCAGTATTGAGAAGTAGAGGTGTGAATGTTGGAGACTTCTCGGACTTTGATTCGGTTATTCGGCCAGCGGTGAAAACAGTATCGGACCCTGAAAATCGTACATATAGAAGAATTCGCCATCGAAAGCGAACGTGCCACAAACGAGGACTGAGTGGGCTCCTCCGCCGGAGATGAGCTGGGGTTTGGTGTCTAGGGCTACCTTGGTTGGGGTATGTCTGTCTTCAAAGGTTCCAATGCCCAGCTGACCATGGCTATTAGCACCCTACGAAGAAAAGTAAAATCTGATTACTTGTATAGGGTATGATAATCGATAGAGGTCAGATAAGTGAGTCTGAGAACGGAAACCCACAATCTGCATGCGTATATGGTGGTGACGTTGGACGAGTGTCACTTAGCAGCTGTGGTACGATCGATATATTCTACGAGAGCTACCGGTATTATTAGTAGGATTATTGCCCTGATCGGTCTGATTGGCCAGGTCGGCCACTTGCAAAGTCACCGAACGCAGACTGGCGAGCCAGTGCTTTGAGCACCAACATAGACCAAACGTCATCGCCTCAACTGTCGGCATTGTGTTCGCACATTCAGCCATCGCAAGGGCCTATTCAGTCACATGCGTTTCCATGAGAACCTACGGCAAATCACCGCAGACACATTCCCTCCTCAACGCATGCACCACACATGAGCACCTCTAACATCCCAAATCACCTGCACCTCTCATGTAAGTGGAAAGTGCGCTCTTCGGCCCCCTCTGCTGCGTGTGAGATCCGAGTAATCTACCGCCTCGTGTGTGAAATCCCGATGTGCTTGCATGGAGGGCTAGGTCGCGTGTGTGTCACGTCATAACGAACTGTTCTCAGCTCTGTAAGCCACCTCTCCCAATCTCAGCGTCAGTCGGTTGAAGGGCTCGGACAGCTGACTGATAAAAGAGATAGGGCAGAGCGAGTGAAATCGACTCTCGCCGTATTATTCCTCATCATTAACCATTTCACGCGCTTGAATCTACCACGGTGAACTAAAAGCAGTAGCTTGGAAAGCTGCCAAGAGACGGAATAACTCAGACCTCGCAGTCAGCCCAGTGTGTGTGGAGTGACCGGCTGGTGTACCCAGAGTCAGACTGCAATGGCTTCTTCTAAATGTGGCCTCGATGGTACTACTGCTCAATGGGATCTGAGCCGGCGTAGTGGCTTGCGCTTAGGTGCGAATTTCCACCGAGCCAGCCGCCTGCGCTCTACCCCGCTTCCGGTCTCCTTGACTCTGTTTTGTTAACAAGTTCAGGGGGGAAGAGGAAAGAATGTGATAGATGATGCGTAGGCTTTCCATCAATATAAACGTTTCTAACAGGTTTTAAATATGAAATTATACTGTCCTTCAAGTAAGAGGTTTGACAACATATGGTTCGTAAAATAAGTGTGGAATTTAATTTTTAAAGGGTCTTTATGAATCCCGATAAAAGTTATACAAAGCGTGGGTTTCCAGCGTGCCAGCCACCTGTGCCCTATCCCGCTTCCGGTCTTACTGACTCTGTGATGGCATCGGGCCCAGGTTGGGAAGGGGAGTGTGACAGATGCTGCGCAAGTCCACTATCATTGTGAATGGCGTAAGTCAGTCTGTGAGCCAACCATACTGTGGGGGCAAACAGTTGACATCGTCGGAAACGACGGTAGAGCTGTCATTGATCTGAGATTAACTAAAGCGTAAAAGTGTTGGTATGGTTCGCTTCACACAGTGTTACATAAGTAGGCGTAAATTAAATTTAGACAGAATAGCATTACTGACAAGGACAAGGTAGGCTGGGATGGCCATTTGCGGATTGTTAGCCGTCGTCAGCCAGCCACACCCAACCCCGAAATGTGCAACACCTGGGGCTCGAACCAGCAACCTGCTAGTTAAAGGCCGAACGCCCTAACCAGAGGTGACTGTGAGATTCTGTGCAAATGTCCTGTTTACGATGGGATTATTACTGTCCAGTACTCTGTGATAAAAGAAAAGCTTCCTCTCGTGTTCATAAATAACATCCGATAGAGAACGGGGACGTAGCTGTCTGCTAAAAGGAGAAGATTCTTGAGCTAGGATGCTGAACGGCTGGCATAAAGCCTATTTTTTGGAAAGCCACTGCTGCGAAAGCTGCATGTGCTATTACATATGTCGGAGGAGTAAACAATAATGTAGGCGGAAGAAAATGCAAACTACGGAGGAAAAAAATTATTTGATGGATTTTTTGAACAGGATGCGAACAGTCTAAGCAGAAGCACATCTGACAAAGCTGTATTTGAGTTAGAAAAATTAGCTAAAATTGATAACTAAAACTCCATAATGGACTCATCAAGCACTATTGACATGACGTTTTGAAAGGCAATAAGTTCAGTATTCAACTTACCCAAGCAAACGTATCCATTAGAAGAGTTCGGAAGAAAGGAGAAATGCAACAACTGCAATAGAATAGATGCAAGTTAATTGTCTTTTACTGGACAGTATGGAATGAAACTAGCTCATTTGACATCAGTACTATCGTTATAAGCTAAGAACATGACGCCAGACCATGCCCAAAGCAGCTTATTGGCGCATTATTTATTGCATGCTTTACTTTGCCATACTTTTCTTGAACTGCACACATTCTAGATGCTCTAAAATTCG